TAAACAGGAAGGCAAAAAGGGACTGCTTTAAAAATACTAGATTAAAAGGGTTTTTGGTTTTTTGTTTTTTTTTTTTTTTTACTAAAACACTAAAGAAAGTCCTTTTCATTGGATAAAGCTTTATTTTTTTAAAAAAAAATTTTTTTGTCTTTTTGAGATAGGGTCTTCCTATAGCCCCAGCTGTCCTGGAATTCACAGATACCCACCTGGGACTAAAGATGTGTGCCACCACACCGGCTTGAAAAACTAATTTCTAAGAAATGCATTGACATTCATCAGCCTGAGAACTTGGACCAAAGACAAAGGACAATGTGTGACTGTGCTGGTTACCCACTCCCTGCCTGCTGGGCCGGGCTAAGTCATTTCTAGGTACAGTTGCTCATTTGTTTACTAGTGGGACTTGAGGACATGACTGGATGGCTATCCATACCATTGACTTGAACAAACCACCCCAACAGCTGAGAGCTCTGACCAAGCATTTATTTTTTGACGCTAGCCTGTCCATTGAATCTGGGCTCAGCTCAGAGGTTCCACCCTGGAGCATGCATGCAATCTGTGAGCTTTCACTGGAAGTCGACTGAGTTCTAACTGTAGGCAAAGCCAGACCCCTCTGTACTCATCACTCTCTACCTAGAGCCTCATCAAGTAGGCTAGTCAGGCTTGTATACAAGGTGACAGAGCCCAACATACAGCTTCAGAGTAGAAGATGCATGCCCCTCTGGAGGCCAAAGCTCACCTGTCTCACTCTTGGTCAAAGCGAACCAAAACAGCATAAAGACTCAAGGTGACTGGGGGCTGGAGAGATGGCTCAGCAGTTAAGAACACTGGTTGTTCTTGCAGAAGACCCGGGTTCAAGTCCCACCACCCACATGGCAGCTAACAACTGCCCGTAACTCCAGTTCCAGGGGATCCGACCACTTCTGTCCTCCTCAGGGATGGCACAACACAGATGCACTTACTACATGCAGGCAATACATGCATACACATAAGATAAAAATATTTTTTAAAAAAGCAAAAAAAGAATCAAAATAAAAAGCACAAATAAGAGGTTTTAATACTAACTTCAATTTACCTAGGATAGCCGCTATGAGTGAGAGGTTGTAGCCTGATTTCACATAAATCCTAAGAACAGTTTGCTTTTGAATATGTATTACTTTGGTAATTTGTTTGATACTGGGTCTCATTATATGGTCCAACCTGACTCAATCCTCCAGCCTTGAGTTTCAGGGAGAAGTATGTGGTGACTGGCAAAATTGAATTTTTGTTTTTTGAAATAGGGCCTCAGTATGTAGCACCAGCTGGCCTGGAACTTGCTCTGTAGATCCCAGACTGGCCACAATTCACCTGTCTCTGCCTCTGTCTCCAAGTGCTGGGATTAAAGGTGTGCACCAAAAGGCCTAACACTAAAAAATTTTACATTTTTGGGGTGGTCTTTTTGAGACAGGGTCTTCCTGCAGCCCCACCTGGCCTTGAACTCAGAGAACTGCCTGCCTCTGCTGAATTCTAGGCTATTTCTATACTCAAGCACTACTTAATCTTTCAAATGGAAGCCAACTATCATGCAAGTCCATATAACAACACAGAAATTAAGGGCCTTTATAAAAACCCAAAACATGCCTAGCATGCTTAAGGACCTGAGTTCAAGCCCCAGCACTTAGGAGAAAAGATTAAAATTTGCCAGGTGAACACTGGAAAGATGATAGCTCAGCACATAAGAGCACTGACTGCTCTTGCAGAGGACCTGGGTTTGGTTCCAAATGGCATCTAACCACCATATATAACTTCAGTTCCAGGGGATCCGTTGCCGTCTTCTGACCTTGCACGACCAGATGGATGTACTTACATGTGAGCAAAGTGTTCATACACACACACCAAAAAAAAAAAAAAACAAACAAATAGGATAGCACACCTGCATCCCTAGCACACAAAAGTGGCCTCAAGAGGTGTAGTCCAAGGTCATCTTCAAACACACAGCAAGTTTTAGGTCATCTTGACCCTATCTTTTACCCAAGGAAAAAGTTAATAGGAGTTTGAGGTAAGAGTCCAAATAGTGGGTCAGAAAACCCCAATTCCTGTTTCTAGCACCATGACCAGAAAGAAACATGGGGTAGTGTGACGAAACGTAATTTCTGAACCCCTTTAATCCTGATCATCTGCCAACATTCTTCCCATCTGTCTCTCCTTTGCCCACACCCACTCCAGCCTTGCAGAGCACATTGGACCCAAGCTTAGGACAGGAGGCAAGAAGGAAGCAGGGCAAGCCTGGCATGAGACAGGCACCTGAAATCCTAGCACTTGGGAAACAAAAGCCAATCTCTTAAGGTCAAAGCCAGCCTGTCTAGGAAGCAAGCTCCAGGCCAGCCTGAGGTACATAGTGAGACTCTTGTCTCAAATAAAAGTGTTCATTGAACTCTTACCCCAGAGAACCCAGAGATCTGAAGAGTGTTCAAAATTTTTGTTTTGGGGGTTGTTTTGTTTCTGAGTCAGGATCTCTCTGTATCTACAGCTGGCCTGGAACTCACTATGTAGACCAGGTTGACCTTGATCTCATAGAGATCCAGCTGCCTCTGCCTCCCAAGTGCTGGGATTAAAGGTGTGCACCTCCCCCCCTTTTTTTTTTTTTTTTTTTTTTTTTTTTTTTGTCTTTTAGACAGAGTCTCCCTGTAGTTCCAGCCAACCTTAACTATGTAGACCAGGCTGGCCTTGAACTCACTAAAATCCACCTGCCTCTGCCTCCCAAGTGCTGGGACTAAAGGTGTGCACCACCATGCCCAGCTCTAAACTTACTTTTTTAAAATGTTTTAGGGGCTGGAGAGATGACTCAGTGGTTAAGAGCACTGATTGCTCTTGCAGAGGACCCGGGTTCAATTCCCAGCACCCACATGGCAGCTACAAACCGTCCTTAACTCCAGTTCCAGGGGAATTCCTCTTCTGACCTCCACGGCAATGCACAACACAAGTGCACTCACATGCAGGCAATATACTCATACACATATTTTTTAAATGTTTTAAATTATTTTTACTTTATGAGTGTGTTGCTTGCATGTATCTAAGTATACCTATGTTGTGCAATATCTGAAGAGGTCAGAAGAGGGTGTTAGATCCCTTGGAAGTGGAATTACAAACAGTTGTTAGCTGCCACATGGGTACTAAGAATTGAACCCAGGTCCTCTGGCAAGGGCAGCCAGTACTCTTAACTGCTAAACCATCTCTCCAGATCCTCTTTTATTATTTTTATTTCATATGTGTCTTGAGTACATGCATCTAAGTGCATCATGTACAATGCTTGTGAAGGTCAGAAAAGGACAATGAATCCTCTGGAACTGGAGTTAAGATACTTGTTGGCTGCCATGTCGGTACTGGGAACTGAACCCAGGTCTTCTCAAGAGTAGCCAGTGCTCTTAACTGTTGAACCATCACTCCAGACCCTCAAAACTTACTTTTTAACAGTCCCCACCAAAGAGTAAGGAAGCCCAGAATATGAAAGTATATGTAGGTTCTGCCCAGCATCTAAAAGGGGAAAAAAATTCAGGAAAGTTACAACTTTCTGAGTCAGGATTCAGGTAGGCAGAAGTCAAGAAACCTCATAAACTTAGGCTGGTAGGGACTGTGTAGGGAACTAATCTTAGAAAATTTAAATGCAAGCTGGTGATGGGAAACGCCTTTTATCCCAAAGCTCGGGAGGCAGAGGCAGGCAGACCTCTGTGAATTCAAGGCCAGCCTGGACTACAAAGTGAATTCCAGGTCAGCTGGGGCTACAGGGAGACCCTGTCTCAAAAAGACCAAAAATAAATAAATAAATAAATAAATAATCAAATCAAATCTAAATGCACTGTGCTGGAGATACACCTTAGTGGCGGCGTGCTTTCCTGTTCTGTATAAGGCCTGGGTTCAATCTTCAGCAGTAAATAACAAAAATAACATCAAGGTATAAATATACCTGCAATTCAGAGAAAACAGTAATTTTGACTTCCTTGATATTTGCAACAATAAAGAAAGGCCTGATGCTTTTTAGAACTTTATTTCAACATAACTATGCATAACAAATACACTCATATTGGTTAATAGAATGCAATTAAGTTTAACTTATCCTACACAATCTTGACCAGAAACATGGTACATGGTTTACGATTTATAAAAAAAAAACAAAAAAATTAAAAAAAAACTGCAATCTGGTTTATTTTTATCTATTACAAATGTATAAAAGATCCTCCATCAAATGCTGCTGAAGACGGCAGCAAGAACCTTGAGAAATACACCTTTGGTTTGCCTCAGAAAAGTAACACATATTGCACTGTAAGTTTATAAAATTGGCGCAAAACGTTGTAATGTTACAATACCAGTTTAAAAAGTTCAGTAACTAATGAAGGGGAGGCCTATGTGTATACGCGTTGAACTGTAAAAGCTAACTGATTCAGCTAATGTTGCATGTAGATTATAAATCTACACAAACCAAGATTCACTTCAGCTACTGAGGTCAACCAGGAAACCCTAGACAACAACTTGATGTATGCTTTTCAGTCCACAAGTAACAGTACACTACAGGCAAGGTATTCCTTCCATTGTCAACATTCAGAATGACATATGATGAGGTCAACCTGGGTTTTAATTTGCATTAGCACTCATATACAAAGTAGTCCCCAAAGTTGATGACCACATGACTTTAGAATAACTCTTAAAAAGGTAAAATGGCCCTTCTTGGAAGACTAATGCAAAACATCCAGCCATAGTTGTAAGAAATATTACCAAAATGATGCAGCCTCTTATGAATTATGCCTCAATTAAAAAAATAGTCCCCAAACAAGAAGCAGCTCTTAAAAAGGGAAAAAATGCAACAAGATATCTTGAAGAAAAATGTGAATACAGTTCAAAAAATAATTAAGAGATACATTTTCATAAGACTACCTAGGATTAGGCTTATGACATATTCTACCAGTTCAGATTATCACTAGTCACTAAGTATCAATTTACAAGTAACATGTTCATTTTCTGTTCCTTTAGCAAAAGAGGAAAATTCTAGCTTAAGTCTATGGGGTGGTTATAGGGGGTGACTAGAAAACAAGATCCAGACAATTCCATGCAAATATCACATTTTTCAAATGGAAGAACTCCAAACTGGACTAGAAGTTCCAATTACTAATATGCTTTTCATTGAAACAATTTTTATTAAGTACAAACACATGGCATTAAGGTTCAGGGCCTAATATAGGCCTGACAACCAAGTCCTTGTTTTCTGGAAGAAAGGCCTGAAGTCCCACTCAACTTCAGGTAATGATGATTTTAAAGATCAACTTTTATTTCCTTTATATTTTGGTTTTTGGTTTCTAGTCTTAAAACTAGATTAAAATTTTTTTCAATTCCCAGATGGCATTTTTTCCCCTTTTGCTGTATGAAAGAATCCACAAAGACCTCTTCCTCGAACCAACTCCCAATCTCCAACCTGTGCTTGAAATGCATCTTTTTCAGTATTTTGAAAAGGTAATGTAGGTAAAATGTGCTCATGAACATTAACACTAGTTATTAGAAAGACTTAACTAGCTTTATAATTTAAGTTTTAAAACATAAATATCTGCAGCTTGATCTTCGCTGACAATGATTGTCGGAGCCTAGAATTCAACACTTAACAAAATCTCATCCATGCACACAAAACAAAACACACCATCATCACACATTTATGCCTTGAATCCTCTACTTCTTTAAATCTTTGGCCTCCCAGTCAATTCCAAGTTCAACCAACTTGAACTCAAACTTCACTCTTAGAATTCACCAAGCTTTTCACCCATACACTAATGCTTATCTTTCATGTTATACTGCCAAAATCTGAAGCCTGCCTCAGAGATCACCAGGCAAAGAAAATAAATGAAATACACAGAAGTTATTTCAAAATAGAGCATAAAGAGTCAAAATTTCAAGATTCCCTATTGGAATCCTACTTCCTATCACCTGCAATAAACAACTCCTACCAGTCAGAAAAATCCTGTTGGATTCTTTCATACTCTGGCAATTAGCCAAACCACCCACAAAGGTTTTGGAGCACCTGCCATTTTTCATACAAAGTACCCCAGAGGAACACCAGGATAGCTACAGTTCACTTGAAGCCTTACCTATAGAAAGAGGCTGTCTACAGGGACAGCCAGGACACCCACTAGTTTGTGGAGATCCCTGAGAAAGTATGATTCTTAAAATCTGGACTGTACTTAATTACCACAGCCTTTTTCAGGTACTCACTGGAAGTTACGGCTGTTTCCCACAACTCCTACCAGTCTTCACTCTACATCTGCCATGTGACAGCTATGGCTTTGGAATCTCGCAAGTGACATTCTACAGCTTGAAGGATACTTAGGTCTCCTAATTCCAGGTGATCTTTCCAAATACCACTTGTAGTCCTTTGTTCAGCTGAGTAGCCATATGGTCACCAACCATCTATGTATAAGAAAAAAATTTCTTCAAAGGGTGATTTAACATTCTATATACCAAACAGCAAAATACCCAATGGCTGATATTTGAGATAAAAATTGTTTAACATGGGATCTAGTGCAGAATCAACGTGGAGAGTGTAGAATTACGTTATCCGTTCAAAATAACATAAGAATCAGATTCTGACACAGACATGAGGTGAAAAATAATTTTAAATGGATTGAATTTCTGTGTTCCATTTGCTCACAAACTTGCACACTATTTGTTCTGCAAAAGACAACTGCAGCGAAGAAAAAGAAAACTTCCTTTTTGCAAACCAGCCTAAAAGCATCCCTCCAAAAAGGCAAAAAAAGCATGCATATATATGTATAAAGTGTTACTATTCAACACAATGCTATTTCTAGAAAAAAATTAACTGCATAGGTTTAAAAAATTAAACAAGAACCATGTGCAACATCTTAAGCCAGTAAAGCACCAAAATAAAACACCAAAATCACTTTTTATGACAATTAACATACACAATATATTGATCATAAGTCAGGAAGCAAATATCTGGACTGACACAATGTCCATTGTTGGGAGAATTTTTCTTCAATTTAAATGTCTTTTCTCATCTCTAAAGAAACCTTAAAGTGCTAACTTTATATAAAGCAGGCAAATTCTTCAAGTAATTTACTAAGCCAATTTTTATCAAGCTAAACAAGGAAATAAAAATAGGAACTATATAAAATGAGGACAGAAAAGCTGACAAGGCGTAGCTGGACAACGCAACAGAATGCTCCTCTACAGTCTTGCCCTTCTCATGACACCTGACCGCACATGCTAACAGACTCAGGTAGCTGCTGATTTTCTTACATTAACTCCCTAGGATTTACTAAAATGAACAAATCACTAGATAAACATACAGTCCTAAGAAAAAGAATGTTACTTAAAAAAAAAAAAAAAATCACTGCTGAACACTAAAGCAACCTCATCTACCGTCATAAACCAATTAAAAATGGAATAGCTCTTATAAACTATGAACTGCACCTTGTCCAAAGTTTAATTACTCCTGTCCCTTAGCTGCTTTTTCAAGGAAGTACACATTAACCAAATGGCGATTGAGGTGTTTGCTGTAATCTTTTTCCTTTCTAAAAGAACGGTCACAGAAAATACAAACAAAATCTCCCTCAGTTACTTTGACTGCCAAGGCTTCCTTTGCACTTTTTGAACTAGCTCCTTGTGGAGCTGGCCGAGCCCCGTGCAATCCCGAATCATCACTCCCCTCAGACATGTTGTCACTTAGGTCACTTCCATCGTGACTATGGATGCCTTCATCTTCATCAATTTCCTGAGACTCATTTTCTGCTACGGTAACAGGAGGTGAAGCCATTACAGTTGGGGACACTGATTCATGTTCTTCTACCGAGGAGGGAAGAGGCAATGGTGAAACTGGCTCAACGGGCGAGTCTCTACCAGGGACATTCTCTGTGGTGGTATGCTCGGAGCCCATCTCCATTCCACAAAGCGTAGTGGAGCCCATCTCACACTTCTCATGCAATGCTTCGCTGTCCAGCACCCTCAGGTTCTGCTCGGAGGATGAAGCACTGGCAGATTCCTTGGGAGCAGCATGATCAGCTAGACTCTTATCTGCTTCTTCTGTTCCTACTTTCTTAAGAGGGACTTTTTTATGTCCTTCACCTTCAGAGACTGTGTTTTGGTCTTCTGATGTCTCCTCTCTTAAGTCTTCCTTTGGCAGTAGCGTCAGGGCTGAGAGATCCTGCGTGCTTTTACCTTCCTTCAGAAGCTGGCTCTCTCTGACAGGAACTAAGCCAACTTCAGTAAGGACTTGCTCTTGCTTTGCCATTTCGCTCTGCATGTTCAGCTTTTCCTTTTTATTGTCTTTTCGAGGAGATGACCTTTTGGTAACTGGCTTGATGGGAAGAAGAGGCTCTAGGACAGGAGATGGATCAAGCTGAGCAGGCTCCTTCTGAGCAGGCTCCACAGGAGGAGGCAGCTCCATCTGAGTGGCCTCTATCTGAACAGGCTCCACAGGCGGCAACTCCATGGGAGGAGGCGGCCCCATGGGAGGAGGCGCCTCCACCTGAGGGCCTGTCTCGGCAGGTTCCCTGGTAGGAAGTGGCTCTGTCTGAGGGCCGGTTGGGGCAGGCTGGATCTGGGCAGGCTCTGTGGGAGATAGCTCCACCGGAACAGGCCCAGTCTGAGCACTATCCAAGGTCTGAGCACTATCCAAGGGAGAAGGCGGCTCGGCCTGTGTAGGTCCTGGAAGGGTAACCTCCATGGGAGTGGGCTCTGTAACAGGAGGCAGCTCCATCTGGACGGGCTGGCTGGGAGGAGGTTCCACCTGAGCAAGCACCTTCTGAGCAGGCTTACTGCTTTTTTTACTTGATTTATTTTTCAGAGTTTTCTTCTTTGTACCTTTCTTAATGCAGGCGTTTTGCTTTTTGTTTTCCACTTTAGTCTCTGTTTTACCGTCACCCTTTGGCACTTCCAGGCTATTTTTGGATTTGCTCTCTACCTTCTTTTTCTTCTTTGCCACTGGTTCCTCATTCACAGAGTCCTGCAAGGAACGGGCTTCAGCATCTGTCTTTCTTTTGTTTTTCTTGACTTTACAGGATCTTTCTGGATAATTTCCTGTGTGCACATCCATCTGCTTTGTCTCGGCTACTTTAGTCTCCGTTGCTGATTTGCGAGTTCTGGTGGTTACCTGGATCGCTGAGACACTGCTGCAAGGTTTTTTCTCTTTCGAAACATTATCTTTTTTCTCCACCTTCACAGATTTCTCATTTTTCTTTCCAGACACATCCCCCCTTATTTTCGTTGGCTCTGTCTCTGGCTTTTCATTGGTGGTGGTGTTATCGTGCAATTCAGCCTCCCGCTTTTTGGTTTTCTTTAGCTTCACTTTTGAGACATCCATTGTTTTGTCAGGACAAGTAGGATGCTTAGATTTGAAGTGATACTGGAGATTACACTTCTTGGACGCTGCATAGTCACACACTGGGCAATTGAACTGCCTGGGGTTAACGTGCAGCTCTACGTGTTTTTTAAAGTTGCTTCTATCTGCCGTCTTGTAGTCACAGTGCGGGCAATTGAGAGGTTTAGGCCCATTGTGAACCTGTCTTGCGTGGCGGGTTACTTCATGCTGATTAGAGGCCACATAACTGCACTGATGACATTTAAATGGCTTCTCACCTAAAGGTAAAGAAGAGATGTTAGAAGAGACAGACTAAGACATAAACCCAGTATCAAAATACTTAATGAGCTGTAGATGCAAGATAACCACAAAGACTACTGGAAAGACTTTATCATGCACCTTACATTTCCATATTTATTTGTATACCTTTTCTTTATCCCTAAAGGAGGCTTGATTTCCCAAGAAAATTAGAGAAACAATTGCCTCAGTTGACCATTATCTCCCAAACAGTTCACACAGATAGTGCACTATTAAAGAATACTATACACTATTAAAGTACAGAGGCTCATCAAAAAGGACAGAATTATTGGCAAAGTCAGCTGGACTCTGGGTGTTAATTCTGGGACAAGGTCACTCAAAGAAAATAATTTAATTATTTTTCGCTCTGTCTCCTCAATTTTTTATTTACAGGTAAAGCAAAAGTATAATAGAACATAA